ATAAAATAAAATAAAATAAAATAAAATAAAATAAAATAAAATAAAATGGAGAGAAAAAGAGAAAAACAGCCAATGTGGCCTTCTGGGTTCCTCTAGTACACATAGGGACATGTACACACACAGACATACATGCCACAAGCACACACAAAACATACAGCACACACAGAAAGAAGAAAGAAGGGGGTTGAGGAAGAGAAAGGAAGAATAAAAACAATGGCCACCCTAAAACTCGAACAAAGATTTAAGACAATGTTATCCTAATAACTGAACATTGAAAACAACCCCAAACACACAATATTCGTAGTATTTATTACATACTACAGAATGGGTGGATCTAAAGACACTAGATTATGAAAAAGAAGCCAGTCACAGAATATCACAGATCCTATGAGTCTACTCATATTGTTACCAGATTTGGGGTCACAGCCTGTGCTCCAGCAAGCCGGTTTCAATCACCCATCTTCCGTAAATCCAATTAAAACAGCCACTGTGCCAGTGAAAACCAAAAGAAAGAAATTCATTCAATTGAGTTCACATTGGTAAAAGAAACAAGGATATCCAGTAATGCACCCCAAGTCCTTCACTGGTGTTCTGAAGCTCAAACCTAAGTAGAGGGCTAGGGCTGGGTACATCTAGGCAGTCTGGGTCAGAGTGTAGTCCTTCCCAGTCAATGACCCTTCTTTGTTTTGGTTCCACTCTCCTGTAAGATACTCTGACAAGTGTAACCCTCTTCGCAGAGAAAGAAGATTCCCCTCTGGCTCTAGGCTTTTCTCTCTCTTCCCAGCAAGAGATTCCTGGAGGATTCCAGTTTCTAAGGCCCATTGGTCAAAAGTCTGATAGCCAAAGTAAAGGACACAAGTGTCAGTTTAGATTTTGAGATGTCCAGAATGGACAAATCTGTAGAGACAGAAATGGGAAATGACTGCTAATGAGTACAAAAACTTTAATAGGTAATTGAATGCTTTAAGCCTGTAGCTATTGCTGTAAATATAAAAATATTTAAGGTATTTAGTTTCATACTTCACATAAAATTTATGTTGTATGGATTATATAAGTTGCATTATAACTATACACAAGTAAAGCTATTTTTAAGCGGGAATTCAGAATGAGAACACACAAATAAAAAGTCAGAAGTAATATTCAATGACAGGGGTTTTCCACAGCTATTGAAGTACATAAATCAGCTCAAGAATCATGTGGGTCTCCAAGAGAAAAAGAAAACTAAACCCAACTCTGATGTAATACAATATAGCTTCACAACATAGGAGACTAAGGGAAGATCATAGGAGTAAACAAACAAACAAAAACATAGATATAAATACAGACATCGGAGATAGGTAGGTAGATGTTAGGTAGATGGATAGATGATAGATAGATAGATAGATAGATAGATAGATAGATAGATAGATAGATACATAGATAGATACATAGATAGATAGATAGATAGATAGATAATCAGCCACCTGCCCCTGATAAAGGCAGCTACAAAGCCATTATTAGTGAAAAGTTCTAGCGTATAGGAGAACTGGGGATAAGCTGGACAAAGGACATGCTGAGAGTGAACTTGCCCTGCAGAAAGCAGCTGGAGCTAGGACATTCTGAGCCCAGCATGGAGCACCACTCAGATGTTCTCCCCCAGGATCATGCCTGAGCTCTGCCAGTGCCAGCCAAGTGGAACATACACTCAAAGAAGAGCCCAAGAATTGCAGAATCCCCCTGAAGTGGCATCTTCACAGCAGGACAGAAGACGTAACTAGAAGGTTGGGTGATGAGGGCACTGGGGCAGCGACCTTGACACAGACCACAGTATGCATGTGGATAGGAGCCAGTAACCTTCACCAGACATGAGCAAGCACTTGCAGGAACAGAACCTTTGGCATTCACAGATACCAGAGGCTTAACCAGTCAGAGGATAACCCATCAATAACCTTGGAGGCAGTGTCCCCATATTCATATTTTCAGTGGCTAAAATATTCAGATGAGAACAGAATCATTTTAAGAATCTGTGGACTATTATTCGGACATGACGGATTGCCCCTTTGTGTGATCATGAGTCATCTGGTGAATTCCTAAAGAGAGTCACGTGTCTTCCTAAGAAGAATGGGAGAGATCCTCAAATGCTTCCTTGAAAGCAGCTTTCTTCTCTCCTAGCTGTGCACGTATATAACTAAGACAAAGAGAACAAACTCCCCTCCCCACTCCTTCCCGAATGTTTCCGATTCTTAGTACATGTTAGTGGTACAGGAGATGCAAGCTCCTGTCCTCATCGGGTCGTGAATTAAAAAGGAAAATAACAGAATTTCTGAAAGCATCGGCGCACGATGGATGTACTTATCACACTCTCACATAAGGCCTTTTGCCCAGCTGTTCTGCCATTTAATGCCAGCCTGCATGGTTGCTGGCACTCGTTGTGTCAAACGAATGTTAGGAGGGAGTTAGACTATACAGTCCCCTTCTGCTCTCAAGTGGCTTCAGAAGGCTCACACAGAGAACAAACACTCTGAAAAGGATGGATACAAGTGAAACTCATTTCTGTTTGCAAGAGGAAAATTTATTAGGTTTGGAGGAACTGCAAGAAAAGGTAGAGGAAGCAGAGAGAACCACGAAACACCTTGTGTGGCCCCGTCACCGATCAGAGCTCTCGGACCACCAGAAAAGAACCGGGTAGTCACGAAGGGGCCCTGACTGAAGGTGGTCCAGTGGGCTGGACTAAGGGACAGACCACCGCACTTGGCCTTTGCTACCCTTCCAGACTGTGATTCCTTGGTGGTGGATATGGGGTCAAAGAGGCTGAGCTGATCTGCTGACGGTCATTCCATGTCTTCATACAGTCCTCCTGCTGGCCGTGGGGGCATTTAGCAGGGTCCACATCTGGAGCGTGTAACACAAGGATTTGTGGCACAGGGTCCGATGGGCTTGCCACAGGCGTTGGTGGTGGCGCAGGGGTTGCAGGGAAGCCTGGAACACAGGATCATGAGAGTCAGCATGAGAAAGTAAGTTTTTAGGAAGCAGAGTCGGCTAAGAGCAAGGAGCCCGTCCCCTTATTTTTAGAGAGCAAGCCTTGTTCAGATCACTCCCCCTGCAGAGTTCGGGGTAGTACACAAAGGCTCGAGATGGAGTCCAGCCTTCTGTACAGCCCTGGGGACACAAGCGAATCACTTCGACCTCTAAGTGGCTGCCTCCAGCCCAGAGGAAGGGACTGGCGACATCCACCATGTGGATATAAACTTTGCAAGAGAATTGTCCTTCTAAATATCCTGCCTGAGCTTCCCCTTAGTCAGTTCTATTCATTCTTAAGTCATCTTCTTTGGAGATGCTTGAATGCACTAGAAGATGGCTATATTGACTAGAATCCCTTCTCTCAAATGATTCCAATAAAAATCATAGAAACAGTGAACCTAAAGTTTCGGTTTAATCAAACCAAAACGTTTCTCTGTTTCCTTTCCAAGTCGGAATCCATCTATAAAGATATAAAAGTTTTTCACCGAGAAGCCAAAGAAACCCGAGATATTTTCAGGATAGGAAATATCTTTAGCCCAAGTAATGCTGACAACAGGTACTTTACACTCTTCTCTAGAGATATGCTGATAGCCAAACTTCATCTGCCAAGTCCCTGGGCGATTCTCAAGGTGCTCTGTGTGTGCCTCACCAGTGGCAGACACACCCCCAGCAACTCACTTGCAGTCCTCGCCCTCCAGCAGGCTCCTGTACGTGTTGATCTCGCACTCCAGACGAGCCCGGATGTCCAGCAGCACCTGGAACTCCTGGTTCTGCCGTTCCAGGTCAGCACGGATCTCCCCAAGCTGGGACTCCACGTTGGTGATCATGTATTGCACCTGGGCCAGCTGGGAGCTGTAGCGAGCCTCGCTCTCAGTCAGAGTGTTCTCCAGGCTGTTTCTCTGGGGGGAGAAGGAAAAGGCTGTCACAGGGCTGTGCCCTCTAAAGGCTCCTGTGTGGCCTTCCAAAGAAGCCACAAGCTCCAAGAGCTTAGCAGAGGGAGGATCCCCAAGGATGCCCCAGGGCTCTGCCCCCAGACTCCACACTGCTCAGCACCAGGTCTGGCCAGCACCCACCATGTTGTGCTGGGCCTGCAGCTCGATCTCCAGGGCGTTGACCGTGCGTCTCAGCTCGATGATCTCTGCCTGGCAGGACTGCAGCTGCTCAGAGCTGGATACCACCTGCTTGTTCAGCTCCTCAGTCTGCAGTGGGCAAAGGGAGGGACAGGATCAGACCCTGCCTCAGGGCCCGAGGGGACTCCGTTCCTGAGTGACCACGGGCTCGATGCCCACCTGTGTGGTGAACCATTCCTCCACTTCCCGGCGGTTGGTTTCCACCAGGGCCTCGTACTGACACCTGGTCTCGTTGAGCACGCGGTTCAGGTCCACGGTGGGAGCAGCGTCCACCTCTATGTTGAGGCGGTCTCCAAGCTGGCAGCGCAGGGTGTTGACTTCCTGGTGGGGGAAAAGGCAAAGGATGGATCACAGAACCAAGGAGACTTTTGTACTTTAAGAAGTGCATACAGAATACAGTTTTTTTTTAAAGGTGAGTGTGAAAGGCTTTAAGAGGATGACTGTCTATAAGAGGCACATTTATCATAAACACTATGTAGTGGAAAGGAAATTTAGTGGAAATATTATGAGAGTATCAAGAAATGTGGTGAGAGAAACGTTGCATTGCAGTGAGAAATCCTGAGCCCAACTGATGTAAATCACCTCTGGGGACTGTCTGAGTCTCTTCCCTCTGTATGGAGATTCTTGGATGAACTGCTAGTATATCTCGGGACTCTGTCATTTCCTTTAGATTGTGTATTTGTTGTGGGATGAGCCTGGTGTGGCAAATGATTTATAATTGTTGCTGCTTAAGTATGAATGAACCCAATTGAACGCTGCCAATAGTTCTGTATCTCGCAATGTCATTCCCTGCCTGTTAGAGCTTGTTTTCCCCTTGGGTAAGCATCTAATCTTTGAGACACATAGCCGAAATTGCATTCAACCATGAGATCTGAACCAACCAATATTTAAGTTTCTTCCTTCCTCTCATTTTTTCCATTCACTCATCTACCCACCTACCCATCCAACGACTAACTCGGAAGCCATTTACCTAGATGTGGCAAAGGACAAAAGCGCTCTCTCTTTCCTGATCATTGATTGGGTAACTACTCAGAAAATCACAGACTTCATGCAAGTCTTGGGCCACACACCTGGTCCCATGTGGACACAGATCGGCTGACTACACTTCTTCCTGTAGAAGAGCTCAACCTAAGGCCTCATCATCCAATCATCTTTCAGCTCTCCTTTGAGCAACTAGCAAAAATGTTGTGTTGACCTAGCACACCAAGACCTACCTTCCCCTGCTCAGGAGTTGTGGGACCCTCAGTATTGAGATGCTGTGGCTGGGACTCTCTTACCTCCTCATGGTTCTTCTTGAGACACAGCAGCTCTTCCTTCAGGGACTCCACCTGAGCCTCCAGATCGGACTTGCAGAGGGTCAGCTCGTCCAGGATCCGGCGCAGGCCGTTGATGTCAGCCTCCACCAGCTGCCGCAGGGACAGCTCCGTCTGATACCTGCGCACACAGTCAAGTCAGAAGACATCAAAGAGGAAGAAGAGTGTCTGTTTGGATAATCTAAGTCAACCTCATCCTACTTTGACGCAGTTCCATTTTAAACCCCTCCATTCTGAAGGGGAAGCATCACTGCGGTGAGTGAGTTGACAGAAAAGGCACTGTGTGTGATTTCACCATTCCCTGCATTTGTCCTAAGAATCCATTCCCAAGTTGCTATCAAGGAAGCACAGGTCTTTGTCTCCTTGAGTTGCTACAAAATTCCTAATTCTACTACAACCTATCTCCCTTCCTTTCCAACTACCCTGGGAGTCATAAAATTCAAAGTCACTCAGATCCAGCCTTGCCATGAAATGGCTGGAGATGGATTCTTTGCTCTCCCCGAGCCTTGCTTGTAAAAGGAAGACAAAAATAACACTTCACTGTGTTGGGCTGAAGATGAAGAAATGATTCGAGTGAAATCCCATTATAAACTCTAAGATCCCTTTAAAGATTCAAAAGATTATTATGATTACAATCATACCAGAATATACTGATTAATTCACTGGAAAATGGCTTTTGCCTCATTATGGCTTAATAACACCTTTGAGATGCATTGATAATGACTATACTGTGAGACCAATATAAAATTTACTTTTAAAGTCAGACTGCTGAGTTAAAAAAGGATAAAGAATGGGTGATCTCTTAAATTTCTTCAAACTAAACTTAAAACATAGACTGTCAGCTCTCGGAGAAGAGACTGGGTTTTACTCTAACTCTAACCCAAGTCACAACAGCCCTTGGAAGCTGCTTCCAGCACATTCTCAGAACAAGGAGCCATCACTTTGCAGCTCAACCTCTCACCAGGCTGTTCTGGACATTACGCATGTCTTACTTGGTCCTGAAGTCGTCGGCTGCCAGCTTGGCATTGTCAATCTTCACCGCCAGCCTGGCGTTCTCAGACTTGCCGCAGAGAATCTGCATTGGATTGATTGTGACATGAGTTACATTATTTCTTGCCAGTTGCTCTGTGTTCTTCCGGATCTTCACTTCGGATATGCAAGATTCTCTTTCTGGGCATTTCACCCCTGACCCCAACCCTAGCAATCCACCTAATGCTCACCAACTGTGAGGAAGTAAAGAACGACACTCAAGTCGTATCGCTCCTTTCTAGCATTCACTTTGTCGGGACTATAGAACAGCAGAGAGACAATTCCCTCCAAGAACCGAGGTGCGCATAGTCAGACATAAACTCCTATTTCGGGGGGGGGGGTGCTGGAAGATAGTTCAATTGTTAAAATGTTTGCTTTGCAAAAAGGGGGCTTGAGTTCAATGCCCAGATCTAAAGTTTTTAAAATTCATGACATAGTAATTACAATCCCAGCAGCTAAGGAGGCAGAGACAGACAGGGCCCTGTGGCTTGCTGCCTAGCCTACTTGACAAGTTCAAGGCCAGTAGGTGTCTCTGTTACAGAAAAAAAAAAAAATGGTGAATGGCACTTAGGAATGACAGCAGGTTGTCCGCTGACTTATACACACACATACACACACACAAACACACACACACACATGTCACCTGCCCACACATACACATTATTACTGCTCTTTTGAGGATCCTTCCAAGTGCCACCTCTATGTGGATTCTGCTTCTGTTTTCATGACCCTGTATGCCATTTCCCTACATACCTTACCAAAGCTGCCTCTTACTGTGGTCGCTACAACTTTGAAAGGCTTAAACTATCTGAGGACTCACATAGAATTTTTTTTTTAGCTCAGAGAACTAATCCAGCTGCACAGTATGTTTTTTAAATGTCATAGTTTGTCTGAAAACAAGAAAAACACATCATAACAAACTTTTTTTAAAAAATGAGCTATTCTGTATTGGTTTATGTGTTCTTCGTTGATTTCTGGCTCATGAATTTCTGTCAGCAGAAACAAGGGCCAGGCTAGTGGAAGAATACAGCAGTGGGAGAGCTGGGTCCCTTGGATCTCTGGGTATTGGGCAACCAAAAAGCACATTGGGTAATTCTAAGGATAACGGCTCTGGCTAGTACCCTTGCCGCTGTTACGTCTTTGATGCAAGAATAGTGAGGGCTCTCCTCCAGCGCTCCTGCCTTTTGATTCTTTGCTAGTTCCCTCTAGACCAGAAAGTTCTATTTGAGGAAGGGGTGGGAAAGGTGATGGCTTTGCTACGGAATTAGACTTTGCTCAACTACAGTTCAGAGGAGGAGGCTCTCACCACATCCTCTCTGCTCCGCGGTCCAGCTGCTGGGAGGACCTTGGAGGACCTGACAGCTAGAGATAAGAAAAGGAATCCTACTCCAGGTGGGGGAGGGTCCCAAGCAGTTCAGACATGCCTGCTCTTTCCCTCTCTTACTCCCAACACCCACCCTGGCCTTTGTAAAGAAATACTGTGATTTTTGTTGTGAGATTTAAAAAAAAACAAAAACAAAAACAAATGAGCTGTTCTGGTTTGAGGTAAGAAGCATGTTAGGAACGTCTGACTAATTTGGCACTAATGCCGGATCTGCATGCTTCCATTATGGTGATTCCAAAATGGATTTTCAAAGGCTTCCCACTTTAGGTCAGTGTATTCTACATCACTTGCAGCATTAGCCGTAAACACCCTCAACTCCATTCAGACTTTAGTGTGTCCGATGTGAATAAACATTTCATTCAACTGGCACGAGGGTACCCATCCCCTCACCTTCTGCTGCAGCTCCTCGATGGTCCTGAAGTAAGACTGGTAGGCAGGGCACACCAGGGGGTCCTGCTGCTGGTTCCTCTGCTGGATCTGGCTTTCCAGCTCTGCATTCTCTCTCTCCAGCTGCCTCACCTTCTCTATATAGGAGGCCAGGCGGTCATTGAGAAACTGCATGGTCTCCTTCTCATTGCCATTGAAGGAGCCCTCGCAGAACCAATTGCAGTTGCCCACGTTGGCGGGGATGTTGCAGGCCCCTGGCAGGGTGCAGCCGTGGCAGCTGGGAGGCACGCAGGGCCGGGAGGAGCAGCTGGTGCGGCAGCTCATGGCGGGCAGGCAGCAGTTGTATGACATGGTGCTGGAGGGAGCAGAGCTGTGAGGGTCAGCTTCTAACCTGAAGTTCTGTCTCTGGTACAAGGCCTGGCCCTCTCCGGAGCTTTATATCCTGTCAGTGGTGGGTGTGGTGACCACGTGAAACATCACCCCCCTTTTGCTCTCAGTACCAATTTTCCATTTGTTATTTGGCCACCTCGCATGAGTCCTTTAGCTTATAAAATGTTTTACTTTGGCTTCCTGCTATGTCAGGACTCTTTACCAATCATGCTGCTTAGTTCAGAAAGAGTGTCATGGTTTGGCTTCAAAGTAACCAATTTTGCCAACAGCAGCACTTGTTTACTGGGAGTTAAGTTCCGGTGGCTTCTGACACCCCCACCTCCCTACCCCCACTTCTGAACGATTTCTCCTAAGCCTTGGAAAGGCTTGTGACTTCTTCAGCTTAAGCCCAGTAAGGAGTCCGTGAGGAAAACCATCTAGCTGTCTCTTTGGAAACTGAACTGGTTGGTAGCAAATCCCAAAAGTTAACATCAAAAAATGCAACCCAGCTCAGTGCTGCTAGACTCTCCAAGTGGGTGGAGACAATGTTAGCCTCTTCCTATGGGGACTCTTACAGGCTCCATTTGTGCCATTGTGTGTGCATAGACATTTTGAGGGTAGCTATAGCCCACAGCCTACTACAGTACTCGCCTGCATACAGTGTGGCTGTAATTGGCCCCTGTTCCCTTAGGTGCCGACTTCACCCCAGAGTGAGCTAGGTACCTCACATGCATTAACTCCTTCACGAACCAGAAAACCCTGTAAGAGTTTTCCCAAGAGCCTACAGGTCCACCATGGCAGAACCAAGATCAAAGGCAGAGTTCCCTAATTCCAGTGGCCGTATTCTCACTATGGCAAGACACACTCTCCCTTTCAATAGCTTTTGTATAAAATGGAATAATGTGGGATAGCCTGAATTCACTTGAACTCAGCCATTGCTTGGAAGTGTTTCTCCCATGCCCCATCCCCTAATCAGAACGGAGCCAAGAGACAAGTCTATTCTTCTAAGAACCCAAGTCACTCCTAGTCTAAGCAAAGTGTACTTAGCAAGACCGCATCCTTTCCACTAGACATAGAAAAGATGTCAATTCGGTACAGAAATACCTGAGCCTAGTCCTCCCAAGGGTGTGATCCCTCAGTGCCAACACATTTGCACATCTAAGGTAATGTCACATGACTGACAGCACGTTTTGGCAAACATATCTTCTGCCTCCATGCTATTCTAGATGGAGCTTTGAACTGCGGAGTTTTTGTGTCTAATCCATCAGTTTCCCAAATACAAAAGGCATTTCTTAAAGTTTTTCTTCTTGGAAACTCTGTGCTAATTCCTATCACATAGTATCAGGTTATTCTTTCTTCAAATGCATGCAGGGAGCCTGTTTTTTCCATTACTCTCATGAAAGACAATTCTACGTATTTTGAGGCTCTATCTATTTGCAGAGCCAGCCAGATGTGATTTGGAACTAAACCTATTGAGTAAAGTAAACATCCATGCTGAGTCATTTCTTTAATGGGTCTGAAACAAGTTGTGACTATAAAACAATAATGTGCATTTTCTTGAGTGATTCTGAAAGTCATTTCCGAGGAAGAGCTAGCTCCAATCATGCTTTTAGACAGAAAGCAAGTTTCAAGTAACCAGGTGGTCTTTTAGGGCTAACCCGGGGTGTTCAGTCTCTGCTCTCCCTCCAGACTCTACATATAAAATGGTTCTACTGTGACATATAGTTTGGGTGTGTTAATTTAGAATCAGTATCAAGCTGATCAAAGTCCAACTGAATGAGCTCACACAACCCAGGAAATCTTCGTGTGTGTGTGTGTGTGTGTGTGTGTGTGTGTGTGTGTGTAAATAATATATGTGTATGTGTGTATATATATATGTCCCATTCTTCTCTCTCTACATCACAAGCCTTAAAAGAGAAAATCCCAGACAATGCTGCCTTTTAAAGAGTAAGAAAGGAAGAGTGTGTTGTAGATTAGAAAATACCTCCACGAAGATTGTATGACTATTGCTATAGCTTTTGGTCAGAGTGGAATAATCCATGAAAAAGATTAGTATATATTCAAAAGTTCTTGGTAGAGCTATAAAAAGACACACATCCCGAGTGGAAATGGCTGTGTTTGCTGCATGATGGCATGGCTATTATACAATGAGTGGCTGAAAGGTCTTCTAGCTGTTAAGAACAGAAAGAAAAAAGTTTTAGTTTGTTTCCTAGAAATTCTTATAAGTGTTTCTTACTTGTTCCATCTACTATATACTGTGTGTTCTCAACTTTATATAAATGATGATATTGTCTCTGGCCAATGACCCTTCAATAAACATGATGAGCAGATGAAATCCTAACAGCCAGAAAGGTTTTATAGTTCCCTGTATCATTGTGTCAGACGCTGTGGCTGAGTCTTCTGGTCTCAAGATGTGAGCCAACAACATTTGAGGTTTTAGGACAGTATTCATTACAGAAGCCAGGGCTATTTCCATGCCAGAGATCACACACAGACTCGGCAGTAGCATTTAACTGGGGAGTGAAGTCAGGGCAGGTCTTTTGCTGGCACCGCCCTCCCTGTCTGTAAGGTCATGGGGAAGCCTTTCTTTCTTTCCCAAAGTCATGTTCATGATGGCCAGAATTTACTGTTTGAAATTCTCATCAGGACATATCATGTGTAAGTTGTGTTCTTTTTGGAAATGTAAAATAATATTATATTGGGCTCCTCACAGGTTTCTTGCACGTTAATGTGTAGAAATGGCAATGAAAGGTGATGAAAGGCACTACTGGGCAAGCAAGAGGATTTCTCATATCCCAAAGGGCTTCATGTCAAGTCAGGGAGTAACATACAAAGTTCACTCGTGCTGTTTTTCACTCTAGAATAGAAGAATGTGAATCAATCCCAAACGAGCCCCCTTTTGTTTTGTTTTGTTTTGGTTTGGTTTTTGAGAAAGGCTTACTCTTTATAGCCTTTGCTTTCCTGAACTTGCTTTTGTAGACCAGGCTGGCCTCGAAATCACAGATATCCACCTGCCTCTTCCTCTGGGATTACAGATGTGTGCCATCATGCCTGGCTTAATACGTTTTTCATTATTATTATTATTATTATTAGTTTATACATTTATTGTTATTGTGTGTCTGTGTGAGTGCAGACACCTATGTTGTATAAAGGTCAGACAACAACTTTCAGTATCCATTTCACTCCTGCTACCTCTGCTTGAATTCTAGAGATCAAACTCACATCATCAGGCTTTCACAGCAACCACTTAACCAGCTGAACATCTCATCAGCCCCAACAATGTCCTTATTCTACCCAGGTTGGCTGTATTAAAGAAACAGGCAGAGATGGGATTAAAATCTGACAGGTAAAGTGCTCTACAGGTCAAGGGAAAGAACAAACGATAACACGGTTTTCTGTTTTGTTTTAAGCACAGAACGTAAAGAAGCTTTGCACTCAGTGTGACCGTGTGGGAAACTTATGCGTTACATTCCCTGTTGAACTGATAATCTGGGGTGAACTCATATAAAACTCATGCTATATGATATTCATAACACTGAAATAAAATTTGACAGCACATGTTTGGACAGATGAGTGTGTGGTTCATGAGGATGCGGCTTCTTCCCCGGCATCCTACAAACAGTGTCTCTTCACCACCGCCAGGGAACTCCCTATTTTCATATCCAATCTGATTCTCCTCTCCCTTGATCTGGTGACCACCCCCCTCTGTGAAACTCTTCACTTCTTTTTCCACCTCAGGTGCTCCTCCATTTTCCTAGCCAATTGCTGTACTCAGGTGTCTCCGGAAACCTGGAAAAACAAGCTATGAAGCTCATGTTGGGAGAGCTGAAGCACACCCTATCAGCACTGTCATTTCTATGAGTGGTCCACAAAGCTCTTTTATACGCTACCAGCTTCCATTCAGTGGTCCTGACGCCTACAGCTCTAGCTTCCGCCCTTATTCAAACAACTCTCTAAAAGATCCAGCCATTCTTTTGAAACTCTTTTGTATCACCATGGCCTCTGGAGAGTTGGCTCAGCACACTTGTTGCTCTTGTAGAGGACCAGGATATTTTTTTTACCAGCATGCATATGGCAACTCATAATTATCCATAGCTGTAATTCCGTGGGACCCAACGTCCTCTCCTGACCTCCATGGACACCAGATACATACATATTGCCCGTATATACATGTAGGCTAAACATTCATAAACATAAAATATAATAAATAAATCAGTTTTTAATAGAGAAAGCAACTTTAGACCCAAAGTAGGTGTTTGTGATGAGTTTGTAATTTTATGTGTCAACTTAACTTGGATAAGGGGTGCCAGGTAGCTAATTAAAGCTGCTCCTGCATGGATTTATAGAGTGTTTCTGGGGGAAAAATTATATTGAAGATTATTTTTACCAATGTAGATGGCCATCATCTAAGCCACTGAGAGTGCAAAGGACGAAAATAGTATGTAAGGATTTCAAGTTCACTCTTCTTTCTTTTTTTTTTTCACTCTTCTTTCTTAAACTATGATACTAGTCTAATCATGATCTCAGACATTTATACCTTCAAACCTTAACTAGGACCTACTCAATTGGCTGTCTTGGTTCTTGGGCCTTTGGGCTTGGAATCGAGCTGTACAATTGCCTTTCCTGAGCTATCAACTTGAAGATCACAGAATTTCTCAATCTCCATAATGATATCAGTGAGCCAATCCTGCATAATAATTTTCTATACATCTATCTTTGTCTTAAATAGAAGATAAATACATACATAGGTAGATGGACAGACTGATGACAGAAAAATGATAGATGTCCTAGTGACTGGATTTCTGTAGAGAGCCTGTTGGTTGATTTCTCTAGAGAACCCTGACTAATATAATGTTAGTATAATTTAATTATAGTATAATTATATTGGTTAGCATAACCAGTATAATTTCTTGCTATCTGTTTTTCATTTTTCCTCATCTCCAATCAGTTTCCAAATGCTAGAGGACCCCTTCAAACAATCA